ACACAGACAACCTCTCGTCAGTATGCGTTTTTTGCATTGCATAGCTGCAAAAAACGCATAAAAACAGTAATGGAACCAGTTCCTTTGTGGTATAAAAAATTTTCTTTAAAAGATCGCTTAGCTAGCAAATTTTGTAGAAGATTAATGCGTTGCAGCATTTAATCATCGACATGAACACTTCTCGGGTTGTTGTGGTTTTGCTGGCGGAAATTAAACGTAATGGTGCTGCACGATCGCTTGTTTTTGCACTGTCGCGACTATTTCACGTCCTAAAACATGTTAAAAGGAATCGTTTACGGTTAGTTGATTTTGGCCGTTCGGGTTTGTAGCCAGGATTTTTCCGTTGAGAAAGGGCAGATCTTTTATTTTTGACCTAAAGAGCAGGACATATCTAATTATTCTTTTTTTCAGTGTACTGTCCAAGTTTTTAACTATAAAAATATTGCTTAGCTGCCGCTTATAGTGCGTGTTTGCCTGTCATTGGTAACGATCTGAGCGAGATGCTCAGCATGCAGCTGTTCCTAGCAATCGTTTCTATGTCTGCACAAGAGAATTGTTATGCCGTAATTGCCTGTGTTGGAAACCCTTCCATATTCACTCTCTCTTTCTCTCTGCGAGACTTGAATACGCGGAAGCAGCCTGAGCTGGTAACATTCACGAGTAGCAACCCGCTGCTGGCAAGTGATAGCACAGTAATTATAAAAATTCTTTGAATGTTGGTAGATTTGTTGAGAAAGATGCTGTTGGGATGGTCATCCTCTTCCTGAAAAAGCGAGGATTTGACTGCTCCCCACTCTTTCTAACACATTCCGCGCCCAGTCTAACTATGTTGCCGTGAGGCGTTTAATCCATCACAGCAACTTGTGGTTTGCCATTTAGAGTTAAAAATTAAATTTGTTACTACGCATGAGCACTGTGAGTTTAGAATTTGTCTATGTCCTCCCAACAGTGACCTCTGAATAGGCTTTTTTCGGGGGGTTTTGTCTAGGATTTTGCTACATTCTCCTCCAAAGTGAACACTTCCGATAGTTTAGCTGCGCTCGAAACTGTGCCTGTTTTTTCAGGACTGTAGGAATACATCTGGTTTCCGCTGTTTCGAAAATTCTCATACGGCCAGAAGAAGCTGTTCAAAGTGCACTGGAGCGATATCTCCCGTCGGTGTTCACAGTTCTTGGACCCGATTTTGAGTCGCAACGAAGTGAAAACATTATGGTACGACTTAACTTGGTCTGTGCAACATTCGAATCCTGGAAGTTTCAGGAGATCGACCTCACTTTTTCTTATTTTCCAGAAGCTTTATGAAGTAGCAGTGGACAACCTGGAATTACTTGGTGTTGCAAATCGAACTGCTGCTGTTGTAATAAGTCAGCTGGCAACGTATGTCGCTGTAATACGTCGAAAATCATTCCTGCATTTTCTTAGTAAGTTGATAAATTGCATGCCAGTCACTTCCGCGGAGTGTTCGGTGTTACCGCGATGTAGCCAGATGAGCTGCCAGTTTTCATCGGTGTACTTTCTAGTCCCATCCCTTTTGAAGGCCATCTGAAAGATCATTTCCTCTCGAACGGTGATAGTCACTGTTACACGTTGTTCTGCAGTTTTCAGCGTCCGGTAGTTTTCTTCGCTCCTTGTGGCAGCACTGTCCTGTCAACTACTCATTTGATGTAGCGTTTTTTTGTTTTCCATTCAGGCGTGGTGATGGAGGAGACGATGGAGATGGAGGTGCTATGAGTATGACAGGCAACATTTTCTCTTCCGCTTCCATCATTGACCACGTTTCACACCCGTATCCCCATTGTCTTCAGATTTTGCTGGATTCAGAGTAATAAATATCGTTTTATAATTCCGATCTTGGTATTTCGTTGCGCGGACTTCATTTGTTTTTAGAAATATTATCTGAAGCAAGCGAAGAAAATCGAAATTTACTGGTTGGAATAATGAATTCATTGCGCCTCCTATGGCCTGTGTATTTAGCGAATATCAATGAGTTCGAGTTGGAAGGTTTGCAGGATGTTAGTCGTTTCGTTGTATGCGTTTTGCTGCTGACACCCTCATTCTTAAACCCTTTTTTCCAACTTCCTTTTGATAATAAGGTTAATACTTAACTTTTTTTTTTTGCTCTTACCCCTTTCACACTCTTTAATCCCACAATCTCAGCGCTGCGACCGCCATACTGACGAGTTCCAGTCGCAGTGTTGAGTTAAGACGTATATGGTTTAATGGACTGAAACGTCTTGTCTTACTTTTGCCTTCTCTCTTGTACTATTCTTTCTGAATTCCATCGTGCCTTCGCCATCTGCGTTCCCAAGGTCGCCCTGGATGCTGCAGTCTGCTTATCAAATTTAGTTGGGTTACGCATACAGCATTTATTCTTCACTCTCTAGCACTCGGAGGCAGCCCAGAAAGAGTCTTTGACAATTCCTTCTACAATTAGTTGCTGGTAGCATATTTCTAACAGCAACCATTCGATGACAAAGCTGTTAATGTTCTTTCTTTCGACGGCTGCTCAGAAGCAAGTTGGAAGCTGTTCTGTTGTCCTGGCATGTACCAGTACCAGTTACATTCGAAACGAATGAGTGGGAGATTGGTTTCCTTCGGGCAGATTTGAACTTTCGACTTTGGCGGTATATAAGGCGTGCCATCAAATGAACTAAATGATAGGTTAACTGCACCAAATATAGTCAGTGAAAATTTTGGTTAAGTGTAAGTAGTACAGAGAAGGAGGATGGGGAAAGAAGGAAGCGGTCAAGTGTGAGATCTTCATGATGACCGGCAGTATGCCACAGTGAAGAACCAGTGTCTTCGCATCATATGCACATGGATAGGATTTGACTGTGTGGTGTAGTCCTCTCCCCGCCCCCCTCCCTCCCCCTCTACCCCTCTCTCCTCCCCAGAATTCATCAACATCCAACATATACCTAGCTCGTTTTGATTGCATCTAAGACACCCATGCGATTCGGATACGATATTGAGAGAGAGGAAGTTTATACTGCTCAGTCAGAAATCGGGCTTATTTGAAAGTCGTATTATGATGAAATTGCTTGGATAGTCGGTGTATGGATGAATGCCCAATGATAATTTGTCAAGAAGTTAGCTTTAACGTAGAACTAATTTTTAGCATTTTCCTGAATTTTGTTGGTTGTCATTTATTGTTTCAGTTGATACGCAATTCTCTACGAACCCTTTTTTCATCGCACAGCGATATTATTGTTGCTTCTCTGGAATTTCTGGAAAAAGTGCTTTCGTCGCCGCTTAACGGCCTTCGCTTGGAACACTTCTATCCACAACGACCAAGTGTAATGCGCACTGGCGCAGAAACAGTTCAAGAGATCATTGTGCCAGCAACTTCCTGTACGTTTTATTCTTGTTAGCCATGCGATGTGACTCTGAAGCCCGCTTCTCAGATAGTTTTTGAAAGAGGACTCCATTCACAGCATTTAAACTTGGCAGCAGATGATTGCCGTTCGCGTAATATTGTTGCCTAATCGCCTTCACTTCATATTTCCCCCTCAGTGAGAGTCAAATATGAAGCGTCGTTTTTTTTTTGCAATCCAGCTTGTTTCAGGAAAAAGAAAAATTGTAGCAAATTTGACGATCTCGATTTTTAGATGCTCCGAGTTGTGTGAGCTCGTTGAGAGCAAGCCCCGTGAATTCGATTTTTGGTCAGGAATCACCCACAGCTTCAAATTTTCCAAACAGCTTCACTCATCCACCGTTCAGTCCACATTCAAACACAGATTCCGGTAGCTCAGAGTCGGTTGGTTTTAATTTATCATTGCATTTTCGGGTTGCCTTCAGTCCAGTAATTTATTTCGCTGGACAGGGTGACGCGCTGTTAGTTTAGTAAACAAAATGAAACACTGGAATAAAATATAACCAGAAAATACTAGTAGTGTGTTATACTGAGGCCAAATTGGTTGAACGTCTGCTTTCAGCACAGCCATACTAACCCTCTGTAAAGTCAAAATTGTACGGATCGTATTGTGCTTATCTCCTTGTAAAAACAGATTTGTACACGAGCCAGTTGTTATCATGCGTGTTTTGCAGTTAGCGGTTTTCTTTTTTGAGATTCAAGATTTTTGTCTAAATTATAAGCATTATGTTTGAAGGGAAGTAAACCGAGTTCGGACGATGGTATGGATGTGGTTGATCCGTTAAGGCATCTGGAAATATCCAGTGATTTCACGAAGTATTCGAGTTCCTCTGAAGAATCTTTACCTGTTGAGACTGGAACTGCTGCTGCTAGTACGATACCCGAACACTTACCTACTGAAATCTGTAAGGTTTCGTTTCTGTTAGGCATGCAGCATTTGGAATTTGCTTGTCAGTGCTTATGTCAGCATCATCCGGTGGAGCAGCTTGTTGTTTTTGTTCCGAAATTGTCAAGATGAGGCGAAAAATTTGGTGACTGGAGAGGCTTAATTGTGTTGCAGGGATGAGGCGTTTTTTTTTTTTTTCTCGAAAATTTCTAAAAATTATGAGATATCACAATTATTACTTTATTCTGGATTAGTATTTTTCAATTTTTTCATGTTTGGCTCGGCTTTAATCGGATATATGAGCCAGTTCTGTCTACGTTTAAGTTGTCAGCAGCCATGCTCACTGTACGGGGTCCTTCCATTCCCCGTTTGAAGCTTACCAACACGCACATAATTCCATGCAGGCATTTAACTGTATCTCACTGCTGGATTCCCACTGCTCGTAGCACATAGCTTGCGTTCCAGTCATCTTTCCGCTTGTTTGTATTTAATTTTTTATTTTCAAAAGGAAAATATTCGTACATCTTTTAGCATATGAATCGTTTCTCACATATACAGCCGTACTTCTGGCAAAACGATTTTTATTAAGTGGGCATTGTCTGAAATTGCTGGCTGACCGCGATGTTCGAGTGAGTCACAAAATCATGGCGATGTCATGCTTGAGCAGCCTTGCACTTCATCTGCCAAAATTTGCTGATATACCTCTTGAGGCAAAAGGTAATGTGCCTTTGCAACAAATCATAAATCAGAGAGTTGTACAAGGAAAAAAAACAATGGATATAAAAAAGGATTCAAGTCCAAACAGTTTAAATTTTAGTCTTATCGCAAGTTTTGTGAACCCAGAAGAGAAAGATCTTAGAAGACCAGATAGAGATAGACACCGTTAGCTCTCTCCGCTGGTGAAGCCGCGAAATTGCCCATACGCGGAGAAAAATTGAGTCGAATGGTGTGAAGTTTTACCAAAAGATGAGAGAATCAACTCAGAAGACATTATTGGCAATTCAAAAGTACAAAGTGCTTAAGGTGGGTAATTGGAATTTCTACAATAAGCGCTAATAAAATCATCCTGTTTTGGGCATTGCGGGTGCGATTTTGAATAGGGTTTCTAAAAACAGACGCATCTCCTTCGTTTAAAACCAATCAAGCCATTAGCGATGCAGTCGAGCTATGGCGTTCTAACCTAATAAGTTGCATAAATTCTTTTTTCGAAAGTAGAATTGAGCTCATAATTTACCAGTTTGATAATCCGTTTTGAAGAAATCTCGTTCCAGGCGGCTTAGGAGTGCAGACAATGAAAGACCTTCAGTTGTATTTGAATCATGAAGATGATCAGCTCAAAGCTGCTGCAATCACTGTGCTAGTGAGTGCTGAAAAATGTAAATTTCGAGCGATAGGCGAACAATTTCGTGGTCAGTTTTCCACTAATTTATTTTTTGTTTTTGTGCAAAATCGGAGCGACGGTTAAATTATCTCAGTAGGGAACGAACGAGCATTCACCGGGAAAACGACCGGGCTTCATGCGAAAAATTGGTAATCATACACGTTTAAGGTCCATGCGGTCCCATAATGCAACACTTTCATCCCAGCCGACGCCGTTTTCCTCTGCTTGCGGGAGAAGGTAAAAAAACAGCCAGTATGGGTCCAATTATTAAACTGGAGCACAGGAACCGTTCCTGCTATTAACAGTCTGTAAATTTAGCGCAAAAACACATGCTTGTACTAGCAAACCTGGTGCGTCGCAGCCTGGGTTTTGTTTGTTGCATCACTTTTGTCATATTTCAGGTATGAGCAGTTTTTGACAACACGCGCGCCTGATTTACATACTTAAGTTCGCAAGCCATTTTTTAATAAAACCCGGGTAGCACCGCATCGGGCTTGCCCTTGCAGTAATGCGTTTTTGCGCTGAATTTGACGCAGTCAGATCGTTGGCAGTATGAATGATTGTTGCTCTACAGTTTAACATATGCAGCTGATGTCCCTGTTTTGGTCTTTTCTTACGTGCAGGGGGAAATGGCGTCGCGCAGACATGCTCTCGAAATTATGTGTTTTGCACTTACATAAGATGCAGAAACGCATAAAAACAGATAAGTTTTTATCAGGTTGTTCATTCAGTCGAAAAATAAACAACAGCAGGTTAATGTGAGCTACTAACTAGGACTTTTGGCACAAGATTGTTGAAATCTGGATTTATATCACTGACACAGAGTCTCAAAATATTTTCCATATTGGCGTCTGTTAATATTTTAGTTTTATTTATTTTCACGAGAGTGCAGAGGTGTGACGGAATATAAGCCCCTGCTCGTCTAGTTAGGCACCACATTCCAATTCTCCCGCGCGGTTGAATTAAAACCGATGCAGGCCGCCGGTTGCCCACCCGTGTCATATTTAAATGTAAATGGCGATAAAATTTGTGTAGTGGAGTTCTGTTCAGAAGCCAAATGCTCGCCGAGCTGTCGATGGTCTCTTCTTTCGAGGGTTGCTTAAGGAAACAAAATAAAGACGGCTGTGCTCCTACTGTGTTTCACTGCCAGTTCGCCATCATCAACGAATCATGGCTGGATTGATCTTAACACAAACTGTTTTCTGTGTTTTATGTGCTCTGGTTGAATTCGCGGTTCCATTTGCAGAGTTTCATTGCTCGTTCCGTTCTTTTGTATTCGATGCAATGCGCCTTCAACGTGCCCACTGTAGCCGTGCACTTTTGGTGGCATTAAAATCAGCCAGCAAGTTGGTTTACCAGACCGAAATCGCGTACGATGTTGCAAAATTTGCCTGTGAAAATTATCGTGACAATTATTTTCTACTTCGTGTAAGCATTTGATTCTTAGCTTTGCGCATAGATTTTGCATCATTTCGTGTGGTTTACCGACGAAACGAAACACTGAATCTTGAACTGATTTCTCCTAATGCATCGCTGTTCTTTATAAGATTTTTGCGCACTTGCAACTCGAGCGCAGGACGAAGTATCGAAAGACACGACAGTCACGAAATGCCATCAGGAAGCGTAATCGGCCTGATTCTTCAAATATTTGCCTTCAGTGACAGTATTGACTCCGTCTGTAGCGCCAGAAACGTAGCGAATTCTGCTGTCGCTGCTCAGTTGTAACACAGTGGATCAGTCGAGGATCCCCTCCGATGACCTTGCATGTCTGCATATAACTTTTGCGCGCTTTACATGCTTTATTATTAAAATTTTTTTGACAGCTTCTTTATATTATCCTTTTTGCTTTATCCCTCGTTTGATTTTGATATATTTATTCGTGGCATTCCACATCATCATTATTTGGAATACTTGACTCACTGTACATCTAGGTCCTTCATCTGTGAAACTTTTCTAGCTGTTCTGACCAGTGCTGCATCGGCTGGCGGTCAGTCTCTTAGTGATCCTGATGTTCTTCGTGCTTTACCAACTCAGCGGTTCTTTCAACAGAAGCATGTGGTAGGGCTTTAGCCGTTCCAAGATGTCACTAATGTGTGTGTGTGTATGTGTTCATGTATGTGCGTACGTGTGTTGAGCATCATCACCTGTTCTCATCGTTACTATTTCTAGTTCTTCATAATGCACCCTACCGATTAGGGTACAGTGTGTTCACGTTACTCTTCAGATTGTTTGCTATAGCGGGAGAAATATGATACATTAGTTAAATTTGTCTGATAAGTAAGACTGCAACGTAAAGTGTTGGACTGACGTCTTATACAATTTAGTGCTTTAAATAGTTACCTATTTCAGTTTATCACAGTTTGGTTTACAGATCACTTAAACTGTACGTATATATGCGCCAAATCTTCTACCACTCCATGGAAAATAGTGACATTATTAGTCCTAGTTTAAGTGATTTGAATACTGAGGGTGATGAATTGTAACGGCTGGCGTACCCATATGTACATATATATGCATCAACTGTTTTAAGTTAACAGTTTAAATTACAGATCACTTAAACTAGGATTGACTACATAATATATATGTGACATACGTATCATATATATGTATATATATATATACATACATATATATATATATACATATATATATATGTACAAAATTATTCTATCCCTCATGTGTTCACACTTTTAATTTAGGTAGCGGTTGTGGAATATTTGGCAAGCGTTGAATGGGCACTTGCAAGTCGGTCGTCATCTGCACACATTCCGGATGAGGTTTTTGACAAGTACATGTGTTTACTTGCTGATGATGATCAACGCGTGAGGAATGCAGCAGCCGAGAATCTCCCCTTGTTAGTCTGTCGATTATTTTTCAAAATAATGGCTGCAAATAAAATAATTAGCCAGCGCAAGGGCTGTCCGTACGAAAATTCGTTTTTTTCATAGCGGCTGGAAAAATTACTATCTCGAAAGCCATAAAAGATAGGAAGCTGGAACTTCAGGGGAGAGCAATCTCGCAGAATTAAACTCATGTACATCTGCGTCTCTTGTGCGGCCCCGCGAAAGTTCCGGTAAGGAAAATTATTATCTTGGAACCAGAAGAGCTGTGAGGCTGAAATTTCAGGAGGGTGTCTCCTGCCTATGCAAATACCTCGCAATCTCAACTTTAGCTCCCAAGTATACAGAGCTCTTACAGTTGTCCACGTAAGAGTTTTGATGCGAAAAACACCAGCTCGAAAGCTGGAAAATTGGGAGGTCAAAATTTGGAAAGATGTTCCCCTTCCATCTTTTCAAATTCAGCTATCATGCACTGGCACTTGAAATTTTCAGTGGGAAATTCCTCAGCTTGGGAGCCAACCGCTATATCTATTTTTTTCCACAAACGGAAGTGTAAAACAATTATATTTTTAGTGGCAAACGTCCTCAGGGTGGAACTGCTTAGAACGCATAATCGCACCGGCTACTTTGGGACGGTTCGCTATTTGTTTTTTGTTGGAAGCTGAATGTACCACAAAATACCGAGAAGCATAACGCATCAGCTTAGGGATGCTTGTTATTTGCCGAAGTGTCTTCCGTTCAGGAAAATCTTGGCTATATCCTTTCTGGCAGTAGACACTGGCTGTTTAATGTGTACAGGGTCCTTGAGTTGCTTGACGAAGTAAACTGAGGATGCCGCAAAGATCTTTTTAGATCAGTATTAGGTTGTTTTGGAGCAGAATCTGAGTGGGTATTTCCCTGAACAGGTGCAGTAATGGCAGGTTTTGCTGGGAAGTGAGTTGTGTTGGCAGGAAACTTCACTTGCCAGGTTCTTTTCGTCTGAATGCTTTAGCATATATGTGTTTTATCAGGCTCACGAAGAACGCGAACTATACATTGCCACCGAATAATTTTGCAGTGGATAGACCTGGTGATTATCTATGCTCTGCCTTTCAACGAAAGCCTATGGTACGGATTACTCATATCATTGCTGATCGCTCCGAAGTTAATTCCGCATTGCAGAGAGTCAGCTTGTTTCAGAGTAACTCACAGGCGGGGGCGAGGGTTGCCAGTGTTAGTTACTATTGGGAAAGTGCTACAACTTCGTACCAGTTTCGAATGCCCACTACCTCTCACTGCGAGTGAAATGTGAAGAGCTTTTAATTTTCGAATAAAAAAATTATACATTGAAAAAGTGTTAGAATGCAACCAGTTTTTAAAAAAATGCAAGAATCTATCCATTTTTATTGAAAAGCGAATTGCAGATACTCACATCCTGTGCCTCTGTTTTCATTCTCCTCCCTGCCGTACTGCCAATAATGTGTATTCTAATTTTTGCATGCATTTTTTTGATGTGAAACAACATGGCATTGAGTGGGACCATCCGCTGTTGTGTAGTTAACAGCGAAAGTTGTGATGCATTAGTGTGGCGTAGTTCGGACTGTCGTAGCACTAGAGGGCATGCATGCGTCATACGTTTGAGTAATATTAGACAAGTGCAGAGCTAATAGCAACGGAAGAGAAATACACGATTTATATAGCTACTTCTTAACCAGATCAACAACCATGGATGTTCCGCAAACTACCCCACTCCCAGCCAAGGACTAGTGATCTTTAGATCAAGCCGAAATATTAGCACCTTGCCAGCGGCAATCATCCAGTAACAGCGCTGTTGATGGCTATTTTTTTGGAAAATAACTTGTCGATGGCTTCCTTTTTCTTTAAGTTAAAAGTGAATGTAATATTGGGTTGTCGGAATAAAGTGTGAAATTGTAGGAAAGTGGCAAATGGCAGTTACGAACTGTGGAAAATTCAAATTGTAAAATTGTGTTTTCGAAATTTTCTGCATGAATTGTTACATTAATTTTAGACTGTTGGAATGGATTCGCATTACGATTTTTTGGATCAGCAACCGATCGATTTTGTACTCGCAGGAAATATTTCAGTTATCCTGGGGAAAATGTTTGATGTGTTAACCGAAAAAGCCGATGAAAAACAGCAGGTTGTAAACTAGCGTGTAAATTGTCTATTTTTTATTTTGCTCAGAATTTTTCACGCTGTTTTTTAGATTTGCCTGAAATTTCCCAGGTAGAGCGTTGATTAATATAATCAAATAAATAGCGGTGCTCACCGGGGGTAGTCGGTGCGATAAATGCACTTTGCGCAGTTCTATCCAGCGAATGTTTGCCTGCTGAGGATTTTCATTATTTTTCACTTTGGTCTGTCAAAAATATTGAAATGCCTGGTTCTTAATTTGCGGAATTTCCTACTAAAAATTTCACGTGCCGGTACGTAAAAGATGAATTTGAAACCTTGGACGGCGAACATCCTTCCAAAATCAGCTTTCTAATTTTCTTCGAATGATTTTGTCGCCAAAGCTTTTACGTGGTTGTGAGTGAGACCTCTGCAAACTTGGGAACCAAATTTGAGTTTGTGAGGCCCCTCCATAGGCTGAAAACAGCCTCTTGGGATTTCCAGCCTCCTACCTCTTCTGGCTTCTGGATAACAATATTCCCACCAAAACCTTCACGGGGGCTTCGAGACTCAGGCGTACATGAAAGCCAAATTTAAATTTGTGGGGTTGTACGTAGGCAGAGGACAGTACCCTAAAATATCATTTGCCCAATTTTTTGGTCCCCGAGACAATAATTTTCTCCACCAAAACTTTCACAGGTTTTACCTGGTACCGAAGGCGTAAGGGAAGGCTGAATTTAAAGTTTCGGAGTAGTATTTGGGCAGGGGACATTACCGCAGAATTTCAGCTTCCTAGCTTTTTTGGTTCGTGAGATAATAATTTCCGCGCCAAAATTTTCACTCGGCCGTAGGTGATAAGGGAGAGCGTGGGAACGTTAAATTTGAATTTGGGGAGCTGTACGTTGGCGGGGGGGGGGTTATTATTCTAATTCCCGAGGTAATAATTTTCCCTGCCAAAAATTTACGTGTTACCCGCAGGTATGGGAGGGCTGAATTTAAATTCGAGGAGTCGCACGTGGGCAGAGAATAATCCCCTAAAATTTCAGCTTCTTAGATCCCATGGTTCCCGAGGTAATGATTTTTCTCGCCCCAGGCCAACGGAGAAAGCTGAATTTAAATTTTGTTTATCGCGTTTGGGTAGGAAACATGCCCATAAAATTTCAACTTCCTAGCTTCCGTGATTCCTGAGCTGAAAATTTCGGACACACACTTATAAACACACAGACAACCCCCTGACAATATGCGTCTTGTACAGTTGTTGCGCGACACAAACCTCATAAAAAAAGAGTAGACGAAAGAAGTGCTTCTTTTCGAAATGTGTCGAATTTAAAGTTAAGGATAAAAATCAATTACTTTGCCTTCTGTGAGGGATGGAGGCGCTTCAAATTGGCCACGTGATAGCAGTTTGCGAATAGCAGCTAGCAGCGTACATTTCTTTCATTGGCGCACTCTTCAGAAAGTTGCGAAAAGGAGCTGATTGTCTGGCATAGGCTATCTTCCCTTTTTTGCGGGTTCGAGCTGCAGACTAGAGCCTAAGATTAGACGCTGCCTGCCAGTGCACTAAATCATCCATCAGCTGATATTTAATCGGTCTGAATATCTCGGTGTGTTAAGATATTGTTTCGAGGAAAAAAAAAAACCAAAATTCTAACTCATCAGTATAATAATGTCGAAGTGATACTTAATGAATTTAATTTTGCTCCTCTTTCCGTTTTTTCTTTTCTTCAGTTCGACATTCTTAAATAGCTGTCATTCTTAAGTCTTGTCTATTGTTCTCTGAGCTGCTGTTCTCTGAATCGCCTTTCTGGCTACGTTGTCAGTGTCATTATTTGAACCAAGTGATGCGCAGGCGTCTGAGAAGTCTTATCGTATTTTTGAGGGAACTGTTGCTGGAATCCGTATATGTCTGATTCCCAACTTCTTAGGCAGGATTTGCGGCCGGTCTGTGCCATCTGATGAATTGTTACAAACCAATTCGTTATCCTGAAGCATGGGGTTTGAAACCGAATGCAGACAGCTCACGCATTGGTCTAATTGTTTCGTTAATTTCAAAGAGCAGTTGTTGCTGTACTTCAGTGCAGACTTTCGTACAGTTTTTGGATATTGCAACGCATATGGCTGCCGGTACGATGTTTTTTATTATTTTTGGATGTTTCTTCATATTTTTTTCTTATTTTACGATGACAAATTTTCCCCTTTCGTCAGCAGAAACTCGGTTGCTGGTTTGTTCTTTTGTCCTGTGTGTTAAACTAACTACCATATTTTCCCCATCAATGAATAATTTTGTTGCTATTGCAAATCGTCAAGATCGCCTGAATTGATTGTCTCAAATTCCGTTTTAAATGAAATGTTCTAGATCTTCGAGCGCAACTACACCGTTTTCTGCACACGAAACTAACCACATCCACAATAATTTTTGCTAAATTAATTTTGATCAGAGAACACAAAATTGTTCCTGAAAATGGCCATTCTTAGAGATCTGTATTTGCCGAAGATCTTGGGCGTTATGTCTCCTGTAAAAATTTTTATGCAAAAGAAACAATAGGAAAATTGGGTTGGGAGTTTTCATGTGAGAGATAAATTTCAGGGCTGTATGCAGTTAACTTGATGAAAGCGGCCAACGAGACGAGTAAGGCAGGCGCAAAATTTCCAGAACCATTCATTTATGACCAGCTCCTTCTTCTGCAGCTAAGGTTTGTTATTTTTTAATCGATCGTGCAAGAAATTCAGATCTGTTGAGGAAAATTCAGTTAAGATGGAAGCATTTTAAAGAGACAGATTGATTGCTAATAATTACCACGCGCTAGAAAGGTTTCGATTTTTCGCTGTGAGAGCTATTTGAGAGCGAGCGAGAGCTAAGGATTGTTTGATTTCGCTGTCACAGAGACAACAGTTTCGGTTTGCGACTGAAGTGGTTGCAGAAAGAATTGAATTCTTCCAGTGGTGGATTCAGAGCTTCAATTCGAAGTTGAAATTAGGGGCCGTTCATCTTCAGTGAGAGTCTGTTGAAGAAATTATAGATCGATTTATGCTGGTGAATTAGTTATCTCTGCTCTTGTCAACATCATTTAGGACAATAGTGAGTGATATGAAAAATAATAGAAAAATTAAGCTGTGCCGTGCATGAGTATAAATGGTTAAATCCCACAGCGATTATCGGGTCGGTCTCGGTATTCTTGGGGAATAGGTTTATAGTGAAGACAGAAATTTTCACGTTAAGACAAACACATTATTAGTTTTACTAACTATGATGGACATTTCGACCCATTAACCTGTATTTGCTGCTTTCGAATCGGCACATTTTATCAGTTACTCGTTTTTGTGCTTCCTAATTTCAGTTAGAAGGTGCGATTTGTTCTGCATAGTATGTTTTTTTATGGAAAATTTAGGATGGAAAGTCTGGAGGGATTGATTATATGGAGTTGACAGTGATTTCCAGAAAGAGAATTTTTCCATAATTCATTCGGACTCCTCCCAAACACGTGTCAGAAGTATTTTCGGGAGGACCAATAGGCGTTGGTCGCTCACAGACATCCACCAAACATGCGCGGATGAGCCTCGTTCAACAAAAAAATGCAGACAGACAGTTAGTCAACAAAGTAGTGCGAAAATTCCTTCATTTTTTGTTGCAGTGTTTTAACTTTAACAATTTCCTATTTTAGTTTTCAGGATTCTGAACTTATATTACTCTCTTTTAACGGACTATCGGCAGCAGCTCGCGTTATCCGGCTTGCGCCTCTCGCCACTTTCTCCTGTTCGTAAGGCGCTTCCTGTTGGTGCTAGCGGTGCAGCATCATGGGAGCAACGAATTGCTGCAATTTCGACATTTGCTGGAAGCAATATCAGATTGTCGCGGAACACAAGTTTCCTTCAGTCTGCCAGTCTCATGCATTTTGCGGATTCATTAAAAGGTGCCTACCTCACTTACATGGTAAGAAATCATTGTTTAGTTCTAAATTGATTTGTTTTTGCGTTAGTGTGTACTATGATGTGACAGTGTCCCTGTGAATTGACAACATAAGTAAATGTCATAATTTTCTTTTCCAGAACAGTATAGCTTGTGATGTGCCGGAACGCTTTACAACGTTGCTAACTTGTGCGCTGAATTGTTTGGCTTGTATTCTCGAAGTGTTACGGCTCCAGCAAATTGCTGATGTTGTTGAAGAGGTACCTCTCACTTTAACGCCCGAGCGCGCATTGTTAAGGACAAGAAGGCTTGATAATATAGGTCAGCTTAGCATGTAGTAGAATCCCATTAACTGGACGGTTTTATACTAAATGTGCAAGCCGTATCGTGGACTCTGATGATTTCGGTGAACACCTATAATTTCATCATAAAAAAATAAAGAAAGAACCAGGTTTAATGTTTTATAGGCGTCTACATAAGTTTGTAGCGTTTTTTTGCCAAATCTCATTATGTAACGGGAGAAGCTAGACATATTTCAGTGTTTTTTCAATAATCCAGTAAAGCTTCCAGGTCAAACTACAGGAGCAAGCACGTATGTCTAAACAGTTTCGGTGTTTCAGATTTTGCTTTATTGTCGATGTGTAGTTGAAATTGCACCAGCTGAAAGTGTGCGAGTTTCTATGCAACTCTTCAAAATTTTATTTGGAAGCAATGTTGCAAATTTGTCGTTTGACGCTGTGAGGACGCTGAAGTTACGCCATACTGACTTACCTAAAGGTAGGACTGGTGTATCGGCGGCGATAATGATAAGAGAAAAAAAGGGGGCAAGGAAGGATGAAAGCTGGCGCATCAAGGCAAAATAAGAGCAATGGCAGAAGGAAAGAGACCAGGGATGAACAGTAAAAGAGTAGAATGGTATAGAATGGTAAAGGCCAAAGCATATGGGAAGGAAAAACCCCCAGTATCTCGTGTAGGGTGCGATTTTCTTCAAAATTTCTTTCGACTGTTTTAGTAGCCTCGTGGCGTTTTATAATACTGTCACTGTCTTTGTAGTAAGTTCGCAGCTGAAAGACAGTGGATATATTTCCAACGCGTTTTGTAAAAAAAATGGCAAAATTTATAAAAATATTTGTCTAGACTTCCCTGTCCCTTCGCTCTTCCTTTTCCCCGTTTCTTTAGTTCTTCCCCTTTCTACCCTTTGCCTCGTTCTCAGAAGAAACAAAGAAATCCTTGCAACTGCCGTCGCGTTCATCGCATGAATTGCAGATCTCATGGAAGTGTGTTTGTTGCGAAGTGCGAATTTTTTTACAGAATATGTCGTGAATACGGGTCGTGAAGAACACTGCCAAGCAGAAATCACAAGGTACCTTAATTTCCATTATTCATTTCCCATGATCACCGGAACTGTTTATGTATGTTTTTTGTCCGTCTCAGAAATGCACCCATGTACCGAGCACGTTTATGCCAAGCTGCGTCGTGCGATTGCGACTTTTTATGCGTTTTGTGCTGCGTAAGAGCAGTACAAAACGCGTATTGTCACGGGGTTGTCTGTGTGTGTGTGTGTGTGTCCGCAGCAACTTGTCCGCAAATCAACTCGGGAACCACAAAAGCTAGGAAGCTGAAAATTTAGGGGAACGTTCCCCACCCACGTGTGATTCCACTCGGGAACCACAAAAGCTAGGAAGCTGAAAATTTAGGGGAACGTTCCCCACCCACATGTGACCCCGCAAATTTAAATTCAGCTTCCCCGTACCCGCGGGTAACAT